CCAGGCTATCGCGTTTATAGCCTTTTCTCACAGCAGCTGGAATAATTACATTTATCATTTTGATGGTGGATTTTAATCCAGAAAGGATTGTGTTTATGAAACACATGTGAATTAAATTAAATTATATTCCAGTTGTAAATGTGCGTCTGATTACAGATCGCCTGGAATTACTCAAGATCTGTATTTTAAAGAAAACCAGTTCAAAGGGAGCATAATTTGCTTTTTGGGTTAAAAGAATTTCTTAATATGAAATTCGAATGGTATGACAATTTGAGATTAGACTGTACAGAAACTGAAATCACACGCTAATACACACTATACTCAAAGTCACGCAATGCTGATGTTAACATTAATAATTTAAGAACAAAGTATAACAATAATAATAATTTGCACGGTTTGAAGTGATATGAGCTAACCAATCGTTACACTTAGGCCCAATCCCAATTCTACCCCTTAGCCCTTCCCCTTTCCCCTCGATTCTCTTTTGGTCGGAGGGGTAGGGATAGGGGAAGGGCCAGATAGCCCTTCAAATGAAGATTTTTCGGGACCACACTTCAAACGAAGGGGTATGAATTATCTCAGTGTAAACCGGCTTCAAGGGCAACATGGCTGCCCGAGCGAACAAAAAGACACATAAATGTAAGCATTTTTGGCATTAATAAAAATTTTAACGAAAAGTAATAAATTGTTTTATGTTACATTCAATCGTGAGTTCAAATTTACGGTCATGTTACTTAGGGTGACCATACGTGCCATTTTTCCAGGACGCGTCCTGGCCAGGATTTGTTTTGGCTTTGTTTTCCTGTTTTCATGCTTGCTGAAGGTAATGATCGAAAAGTAGTTTGACCAATAACATGCAAGCATTGTACATAATGGACCAATCATGGCGTGTGAGAAGGTGGGATCTACGGTCAAAGCGATGCAATTACGCGTACATATTAGGTGTGTTCGACTTAAAGGCAGTGCGTCTCAGACCTATCAGTGTTTGACATCAAAGTACCTCGAGAGCGTTTCGAAAGCATAACCATCTGTATGGTACTTTGATGTCATACACCGATCGGTCTGCACACGCAAACAAAGTCAAAACCTAGATATTTAAGGCAATATAGAAATCCTGGCCAGGACGCGTCCTGGGAAAATGGCACGTATGGTCACCCTATGTTACTCAAAGAAATGTTTGCAAAAAATCGCTAAAGTTTGCTAACGTCATATCATTACAGACTGCACGATAGGGCCACAACATACTGTATTTTCATGTCTGATCAGGGCGATAACCACCATAGACATTGAGGAGGGCTAGTACCCCCAATAATTAGAAATTGCTAAACCCTTTCCTCAAATATTGCCAATTCGAGAGAGAGAGAGAGAGAGAGAGAGAGAGAGATTAAATTTGCGTGTATGCGCGTTTTTCTTTTTAGAGTTTACTTCAAAAACAGCAATTTTATCCTCACATTGCTGGAAAATATAATGTAGCAATTCAGTATTTAAACTGTTATTAATAAAAGTCATGGGGCAGCATTGACATGTTTCTTTGCTCCTGGATGTGTGAGTGGTGCGATATCTGATGTGTGTGTCAGTAAGCAGCACATTAATATAGAACGGTAATTAAAAGCTCTAATTCACACCAGCACACCAGTATAGGTGTGTGTATTGTAGGAGCTAGATGACGTGTGACGTATAGTAGTGGTGTCCCAATTCCTAGGGGAAGGGGTATAAAATAGTATTGGGATTGGGCCTTAATCACCATTGGTAGCACGATTTATTGTAATTAATCCTTTTTTTCCTCAGTTGGTCAGAACAAACGTGGCAGACTTGTAACTTGTTTAGATGACAGTATACAGTGAAAATTCTTATTTGGGTCATATATTCCAAGACGTAGGCTAGAATCTGTGATTTCGAAGTACAGTAAATATCCACACCGGTGCAGTGACTGACTGCCACACACACATACTCCTCAGAACATTAGATTCATCCGCGCTGGAGCACAACCCCACGCATGGAATATAATTCCTTACACAGCTGCAATTGCAGGTTTTCAAACAGAGATGGCGACAAAGATGCAAAACTTAGACTGCAGCTTTAAAGATGATACTCTGAAGAATAAAGCTGAATGAGTTTTTGTTGTGTGTCAGATTGCTGCACAGGTGGCAGCACCCTTGAGCCGTACCAATGAGATTGTGATCCTGAGCGGCGATGGTGGCCGTGTCACTGGGGAAGTGAATCGTCTGTTGGCTGAACTACCTGTTTCTGTAAACGCCCTCACTGGGGTGGATCTATCCAAGGTGAATACATTGCATATAAACTGCTGTTCAAACATTTAGTGACATTTAAGAATTTTTTTTTAAATGGAAGCTGCATTCATTTGATCAAAAATAAAGAAATAATCATGTAAATAAATGTGTAATTTCTCTACAGATCCCTTTGCTTCAGAAGATGATCAGTCCTCAAGCTTGAACACGCTCCTTCCACTCTGCTGCCTTTCCGACACTCCCACATTGATTGCCTTGAAAAGAAACACTTGAAAGCTGTTTTCTTTTTACAGAAATGAGGCTTTGGTTTTTTTTAGACCCCTGGTGCCTTACCTCTTCAGGACCAGATTCTCTGTACGTGCTCTTGTATTGTCACATGTATCCTTTTTTGTCTGTTTATTTGCCTTTTTTTTTTTTTTTCAAACGACGTACCACAATTATAGTTTTTTTGTTAATCACAGAACTGTATCATATATTCACCAGTGGGCAGCTGCAGATCTACAGTATGTGCATGTAGTTATTTAGAAGATAAGGATGTATTCCCATTATTCACAGTTACATTTATGCAATGTATGAAGATATATAGAATCATAGTGTAGAAGAGCCATTAGGTTTGTTACAGCATGTTTAGTGGGCCTTTGAAATCATTCATCATTGTGAAGACATTGCTGTTCAGGACAAATAGTGACACAGGAATGAGGAGGACTGACTTTTAGTTTATCTAACCAATACATTTAAACATAGGTTGATTTGTAAACATCTTTTAGCACAGTTCAAACATGAAGCACTCTAGTAATTTGATCTTTTTTTACAGTGGGATGAAAACAATCAGTTTGTTACCTTTTAAAAGTTTGCTTTTAGGGTTGAAGGTCAAATCACACTTTCACTGTGCAGTCAATCATGAGAAACTACGCCATGCGATTCATAATCAGATTTGTATGTATATTCTTTGAGGATGTTTTGCCTATTTTTGGATAATAAATAGTGGTCCAAATGCAGTTTTACCAAGATGCCAAGCAAAGGCCAAAACATGCTGAATTATCAGGATTTAGAAAAGTATATTTATTTTTTCATTGCAGAAAGCCTCACGTAATTTACCTCACCCAATGTTTATGCAGATGATAAAGCTGCAAGTAAGATATTATGACTGCAGCCAAACTGACAGTACAGAACCCAGAGCACTCTTTTGTCTACTGTTAAATCCAGAAGTTTGGAGATTGATATACACTGTGCATTTGAAGTTGAACATCTACCATGTCCATAGTTTCCTTGAAGATACTCTATGCCTTAAGGAGTTTTCCCCATATTGTAATTTCAGTTTATTTTTTATACAGTGATGCATTTTGATTATGTCAGGACTTCCTCTTTTTATGTTTTAACTGCAATATTTAAAATAATGTCACATGTATTCTTTATTCCTAAAGTACTAGTTATCAACATCCAGATAATGTGAGCACTCTGTCAGGTATATGTGAATTTTAACTCCGCTTTAGCTATTTTTTCCATCGAGAGTGACTATATTTTAGTGTTTTTTTTTTTCTTCTGATTTTCAGTTTGCCATTATGTCATGATAATGCAAATCAGTTTGCCAAACATCATTAGGTCCTGCCATGCTAAAATTGACAGTAAATCTCGATTTTAAAGCTTAGATGATATGAATTTATTTTCTAGATGGTTATCTTGGTAAGTTTGCATCCCTGAATCTTTAAGATTAAATATAATACATAAGTCTAGAGCAAGAATGAGTATTTTTCCGCAGAACTGCAGCATAATATCATGGTTTGATTATAGTGTGATATTCACTGCATCACAAAAATTCCCAGGCAGAACCAGAGCCAGACTCACCTGTTCAGGTGTCTTTTATTGAGGCTGAGAATGGTGTGTGTCTGATGGGGTGAAGGTCCTCCAGCAGTGCTAGCGTTGATGAAGGCTGATATGAAAGGGTTGGGAGTGACAGAGGAAGCCTCTTCTGAAGAATTCAGTGTTCTTCTGCAGTCAACGGAGCTGGACACGATCACATCTACATCCTCATCTTTCTGCGACTGTCCCACTTTTTGTGGACAAAAGAAGAAATACACCATTTAGGGCACATAAAAAAAAATCCCCTCTGCTGGCCACCAGGTCATAGAAACAGAAACAAGAAGCAACACTGATGCATATAATGTAAAGCTATATTAATATAACGAATTTTATTATTATTCTCTCAGGAAATCATACCATGCTCATTTGGTGTCAAATCCTGTTTGGCCTGTCCATCTGAATCCTTGGTCTCTTGGCTTTCTTTGTCTCTAAACCTAAGGAGGAGAAATTATAAAAATTATATTAACTGAAAATATCAGAACTGATTATTAGGGTTGGAGGTTAAACAGTCAGGACAGGAAACACTATGTAAATTCTATTAAATACTTTTTGATTTGCCATTAGGAATGATGAAAATCTGGCTCCTTTACCTACTGTACATGGTTGAAAAGAATTATAATTATTCACATATATCAGCCCTGAAGTCATATTATGTAAAGGAGGCATTTGTAAGTGAATTTTCCTGAAAAGAAAGAAATGATGAAAACCGATCTCAATCCCTTCTTTTTGTGTCTCTTTAAGTGTCTCTCACCTTTTCCTGTTCAGCCCATTGTCACGAAAGCCTTTGGCAAAGGGGTTGTTGTCAATCTTGAGTTTTGTGATCTGTGTTGAGGATGAGAAACAAAGAGTCCCATCAGCAAAAACCACAGACATGCCAGTCAACATGAATAAATGATACAAAAATGGACTAATAAAACATAATAAATTAAGAGAGAATAATCTGACACATTGAAGTCTTCAGATGTCAACTTAAATGTTTTGCTGATATTTTGTGACAAATAATGGGTTTTGCTTATTTTCCACACTACACTGGGTACTAGATTCTGCCTCCATATACATTTTAATTGGCCTTTCATCCTCATGAATTTGACCCACTAGATGGCACTGGAACTCTAATGAAAAATATCTTTGAAGGTCAGATCTGAAAGTAATTCACATACAGTTTTAAGGGTCTCCAGTATTCATCTTGTGTGAAATGCCTGTTCTCACCTCCTGGTTCTGGTAGGCTGTGACAGCTATAAAAGCAGCTTCAGGGAAGGTGAAGCGCAGGTAACTGCCAGGGTTCTGAGGGTAACAGGGGTCTGGAGATTGGACTATGTGTAGACGGGGCTGGTATTTGTGCATGGAGTGGAGAACCACCTATAGAACATGGAGAGAAATAGAAGCATAAACGGTAAAAACAAAGCAATCCCAAAAATAGAAAACACCTTTAGAAATCTTTCAACCGTTAGACTTTCCCCATTTCTAAAATCTCACCAGGCCATTAGAGTTGAGGGTGTTGTTGGTCAGTTTGAGCTTGTGAAAGGAGATTGGATACTGCATCCATTTCTCTCCAGGTGCAGGAGAGTCTGGATGGATGAAGAACCGATTGGGCAAGTGTGGATCAGTTGAACCATTCATTTCCCAAAGATCCTTATTCCACTGTAACAATATAAGAGCATGAAGACTACAATTAACTACAAAAATTAACCTATCACTACTCATTCAAGAATTGATTTATTTTTAGGTCTTTGGTATTGTTGTTCACACATCTATCAGGTTTGCAGCATTATAACATCCCTATCTGGAGCTGATATTAAGACATTAAGGAATAAAACAGATGAATGTATAATAGAAAGAAATAGTTTAAAAATAGAGTTGTAGTACAGTTATGTACAAAATCTTTTCAAAAGAAGTCTCTTATGTTCACCAAGGCTGCATTTATTTGACCAAGAAATACAGTGGAAACAGTAATATTGTAAAATAACATTCTTTTTTATTTTTTTATGTAACTTATTCCTGTGATGGCATGGTCATTTCTCCAGTCTTCAGTGTCATGTGATCCTTCAGAAATCATTCTAATAAGCTAATTTGGTGCTCAAGAAACATTTCTTATTACAATCATCAATGCTGGAAAGATGTTTGGTAAAATTCATGATACATTTTCAGGATCCGTGGATATTTGTAACCTTAAAAATGTCTTTACTGTCATTTTTGATAAAATTTAATGCTGAATAAAAGTATTATTATTATTATTATTATTACTATTTATCCTTTTTTTAATCTACTGACCCAAAACTTTTGAATGAGAGTGTACGTGTGTGTTTGTGAGGGAGGTTGGAGGGGGATGAAGTGAGTGTGTATGTGTTATGAGGGAGGGGTGGACGGGAGGTACCTTGTACTTGTGGTTATCAAACGGCACCATGTCCATTATCACCACATACTTGATTTTTGGATTCAGTCCTGTCACTGTTACTTTGCAGCTGGGAAACATCCGCCTGAAATAAAACACATCCTAACAATTAGTCATCACATGATGCCCTCAATAATGTACATTCTGATTTGTAATTTTTTCAAGATTATGAACTATTCAGCTAAACGAATAGTTCACTAATGCACTTAACAACACTGCCTTTTCTCTTTGATGCATTAACAAATATATTTCTTGCACTATAATAGGGGTAAATCCCAACACAATTCAATTACACATTTGTTATATCACTACGTATATACTAATTATAGACATTAAAATACTTAAAAGGACTTAATTTAGTCATTTTAAACCCCTGTAGGTGCATACCTGCCAGATTTAGTAATCAGCATCTCTGTGCCAATGCTGCTGAATTTGTCCCAAAGCTCTCGGTCTTGCAGAGATACATGAACTGGCAGTGAGGTCAATTCAGCTTCAGGACTGTTCATCCTGCCATTGAGGCCATGTTGAGTCCAGCAAGTGAGCTCCTTACAGTCTAATCGATAATATAATAATTTCACATTTTCATTCATTTCATATGCACAACATTAGCTTTCCAGAATGGCATTTGTTTGCTATTAGAGAAAACTCCATTTAGTCAGTTGTCTTGACAACTCACAATAATCAATAAACTAAAAAAAACAACAATAAATAAACCTGAAATTGAATTTAAAACTCAAAAAACATGAGAGATGCAAAGATCTAAAGTCCTACCTTGTGGATAATATTCATAGTTATTAGCCAAATGATTAATTTTGTAAGGTAAATCCAGCACAGGCCGTTCCTCTGGGAGATACATGACCATGAGACTGGAGCAACAAACCAAAGTGACTTGTCCCGAGGTTTGTAGCTTCCGAAGCCAATGACCTGCTAGGACTATCCTTGGGTTGCTACCTTTCCATAACTTCAAAGAGGACAGAGGTGCGTATGTGCACTTCTGTCAAAACATCAGTCTCGTCTTTGATCCGTCTCTTTGTCTCTCCCAGTTCCCAGTTTGCGCTCCAGCCTGCCCACAAAGGTGTGTAGAAACAACAATCTTTGGATCTGGGGGAAAGGGGGGTGCATCTTACGTTAGAGGCCAAGGGTTCCCTAACACTTCCTCCAAACCCATACAGACACACACGCAAATAGGTGTTAATCACCCCAGCAGTTTGTCCTCTCATTACTGCAGGAAGTCTTTGCCACTCTTTATTGGCTCATGGTCAAACTGTCAAAGTTCAGCAAATAATTTCTAATCTTGAATATTAAAATTGTGCAATATATCTGGTTTCAGGTTATTTGCTAAGGGCTTTCTCTGAGTGAATCCTGTACAAAATAACTTTTGATAGCAGTATGGTTTTGAATATGTTTAGGCAGTTAAACACTTCTAACCATCTTAGTAAACACCTCTAAGTTTTTCAAGCAGTAAAGGCCTTCAAACAGTAGTTAGTGAAATTTTGTGGGCAAAAAAGGTCCATTGTATATAGTGTAGTTTAGTGATGTCTGACACATAAGTCAAACCAAGTTGCTTTCTGTTGAACAATGCAGCAAATTTGCATGATCAACCTGAACCCATAGGGAAATCTTTTGCTTTCACGTGAAATCCCGATCAAATTAAGTTATTGTTTCATTGTCCCTACTGTAATGTTTTTCATACGCATTTAAGTACAAGAAAATGTAACTGAAATGTACACATACTTGTGTCTTTAAATCAATATAAATGAAAAATGTATACAAATTACAAATAATTTTGTTTATATTTTAATTTTTATTAATATTACATTAAATTTGATAAACACATTACAATAGTATACATGCATTTTATATACCTGACTTAAAATGTAACAGTTTTATACATTATGTAAGAGGGGTTTCTGGTTAGTCTCTCTTAAGGAGCACTCTCAGAAATAAAGGTACAAAAGCCGTCACTGGGGTGGTATCTTTTCAAAAGGTACACTTTTGTTCCTATTAGGTTCTAACACTTTACGTGCTAAAATGGACCCTTAAGGTACAAATATGAACCTTTTGAAAAGGTACCGCCCCAGTGACAGCTTTTGTACCTTTATTTCTGAGAGTGAGCCCTTGGCCTGAAAAAGCCTGAAAGGTCCTGATCTAGAATCTGCCCTGAACTGTCGTCATCGTTTAGTGTTTTTAAGTTAATTTACAGTAAACTACTTGAAGAGTAAGTCACAACTGAGCAACTTGTTAAGTGTTTTGCTAAAGGAGATGATGCTGATATAGCAGGATTGTTCTCAAAGAACTGACTCTGCACACTTTATGCCAGCACTCAAGAACCATTAAGTTTAAATGATCCCAAATCAGTTAGATCAGGTGAATACTTGCGTTTCATAAGAGCTCTAAAGGGCAGTTTCCAGTACCCTTAATGTCTAGCTGGCCACAGCGATCTCTTTTCCGTGAAATCATCACAAATGAACCGAAATGTCCATTTATTTGGGTGGCAGATAAGGTTTCAGGGGCTTGCAACATGTGATGTTCAGTGGACTTCCAAAGGGAAAGTGTTTCATCAATCTTGCCCTCTAGACAGGATATCATCGTATACTGTAAGTTCATTATTGAGACACTACAGTATAGATGATGTACTATCCAGGGGGTCAATACACCTCCGACTGTTTCCTGTGGACCCAAAAACTTTGTGACAGAGAGAGGCGGTGAAACCGTTACCATTACTGAGTTTAGTAATGGTAAGGGTTCTGTTGCCTTCTCTCAAAAATCATCTGGATATGAGAGGACCAAACATGAGTCAAGTGAACTTCAGAGCAACGGATGAAGCAGTCAAAATCAGATGAGTGAACAGATGGACAGATTAAATCAACTAACAATGACATTCTGATCATTTTTATTCTATACAACTTTATAGCCTATAAAGTGTTATATGAGACTGCCATTGTGTGTAATTTTAATAAATATCACTGAATTTGAAAGGAAACATTTTTGCTTGTTTTGTTTCATTATACAATTCATTATTTTTTACAAAACCCTTCATTTTACACAGGGAGGCAGCATATGCGGTTGGTAAAATGCTTACTTGTGCTTCTAGGAGCCAAAGAAATGATGGATGAGAATCTCAGCTTTAACTTTAATGAACTTACAGTTAACTGATGCAGCCAATGAAATAAAATTAAAGGCCAGTATAAGAATATAATGAATGAGGGACATTCCATTGCTTTAGGCCAGCTAGATGTATGCATATAATTCTTCATGAAGTTCTAGTGCAAAAAAGGAAATAAGTGCACCATTATCACCATTTTGAAACTCACTTCAGCAGCAGGTTAGCTGCACTTTTCATTAGAAAGGTTATCTTACCCTCTAGGGCCTAGGCAGTGGAACTTTAAATGGCTTTTTCCACATGTTTTGAAGGAGGTGGAAGAAGAAAAAAGAATTTGAATTATTTACATGTTTTTTTTTAAAGAAAACAAATATATATAAGTTTTTTAAGAAATTAAAAAAGTAACAGTAAAGTAGTTACATTTTTTTTTTATTTCAAATAAAAGTAAATCCTGTTCTTTTGGGCTTTCTATTCATCAAAGAATCCTGAGAAAAACAAAAGTGTAGCTGTTTCCACAAAAATATTAGGCAGCACAACAGTTTTCAACATTTACAGTAATAATAAATGTTTCTTGTAACATTAAATTATATTTCACAAGAGTACTGTTTTACTGTATTTTTATCAAATTAATGCAGGCTTGATGGGTATAAATTACTTCTTTCAAAAACATTCAAATCGTATTGACCCTAAAGTTTTTATTATTTATTATTTTTATTATAATAAAACAAACAACTGGGATTTACACAATTAAATATTTTATGTGAATAAGTGCACTCCATATGTGCAGTTTTGCATATTTGTGAGTATATTTGTTTCTAGCTCTCGTAAAAGCCCTGACTTCTGCTGTCTGTAGATAAAGTGACCATAACTTTTCCACCACAGACAATCCAGCACCATGAGAAACTTATCTGACTTTTCTTCATTACTCAAATTATTTACCACTGACTAAAACTGATGCCATAATTTACTTAACTGTTGAAAATTCATATTTAATAACTGTAATATTACAGACATAGCTACAAATAGTTTTTAAACTGCAGTAAGCATTGTGTACAGCCACAGTTTAGCAGGCCCTGCTCCACCCTGACAGCCAGCCACCACCCAAACTGGCCAGCCCACTCTGAGTCCTATATGGCCCACCTTACATGTTAGAGCTGGAGCCAGGCCTGCAGTTGAGTGATTTCAGGTCAGTGTAATGTTATTACGTAAAACATTCAGTTAAACAGCAAGACTGCACCACAGATAACAGCCTGACCACACTGAAGACAATGAATAATAATAATAATAAAAAACAGCTAAACCCTTCCTTCCAATTAAAAGAGCGAAAGTGAACCACACCCTCAGAGCACACAAGTATATCTATGTATGAATGTAGAACTATATGATTTTTGGCATTTATTATCATATAGACATTTTTATAAATCAAAAGCAGCAAGATGTGTAAATAGCATAGGCAGTTGTGATACGATCAATCATAGTTTTGTTGAAATGATACAGAAAAAACATTTAATGTGCCTCTGATATACTTTACATTTCATTTGACAGGAATGAAGGGGGTCTGTTGAGATCTGACAGTATATTTTGCGTTCATGTCCATTTTTCCCTCTTAAGTATATCTTTTCAGGTTTCTGTATCCCTCTGCATGGGTCAGGCTCTGAATCAACTTAATCATCCAAACAGTCTAGCTTACTTCCTCAACTTTGCAGAGATTTTTAAACGCACTTCACGCAAGAAAATCTTCATTAGGTCATTTTCAGCTTCCTGGGTTATTCTGGTTATCATATGACCTCCAGAACCAATAACCATTTTCTGCAAGAAAGAACAAAGGTTTCGATTTATAGTTAAGTATAATAATGTCACAGTTTTTTAGGTCGTGAAAAAGCACTCTTTTGTTTTAAAAACAATTCCACAAAATGTCTACCATAAAACTAAAGTTGCCTGATGGTGAAAACAGCAGCACGGGAGATTAGCCTCCTCAAATAAATGTGACAAACAAACTTTCAGAAAACAGAGATGCAATCAGAGAGCTCACCATATGAGTGTCTTTCTTTACATATAGTTTGATGGATACGTCGAGTACCCCATCCTCAGACTCCTTCCAGATTTCGATTTGCTGCAAAAAGACCAAAGTAATAAGGAAAAAACAAATAACATTTCAGAAAGCATTAAACATATTTTGAGTAATGACATATTTTGAGTTCCCAATTCCCACTTTACAGCTAACAGAACGAGAATCATACCGGAGTAAAATATATGCAGTTTCGATGATGAAAAACAGATCATAACAAGCTGGGAAACTGCTGTTTAATATTTTTGTGGAAACCATCTATTTTCAGGATTCTAAGATGGATAAATGGTTCATTTGTAACCATGTGAAAGTCTTTACTGTCACTTTCGATCAGTTTAATGCATCCTTGCTGAATAAAGTAATTATTTCTTTAAAAACATTCAACTGACCCCAAACGGTAGTGTATTTCGACACCTTTTAGGTGCCCACAAATCATAGCCCACCTGTGTCATACTGTATGGCACCTCCTTAGGGAGATACTGTAGAAGTTTCTCTCTGATAGTGCTGATGCACACCTCCTCCGGACCCTGATCAGTCAGTACTTCACTGTGGTACTGCCACTGGCCAGGCTTTGCACCTTCAAACAGGTACCTCTGTTGCACGTGTTCAAACAGAGACAAATTAAGGACAAATTAAGGATTTTTTTACGTAAATGTCTTTTTCTTAGAATCTCAAATGCAGCCTC